GAGTGAGGCTGGTGACTTTGCTCAGCCCTCCTCACTTAAATCCAATTCACTTGCGTGTCATGGCATCACCTTCCTGATGTCATGGTCCTCTTCCAGAATGAAGGACAAACAACAACAGTTTCCTTAACTATGAAACAGGGATAATAATAGCACCTACCTCCCAGGGTTGTTGTGAGGATCAAATGTGATATCTGTAAAGTACCTAGCACACAGTATGTGCTGTGTAAATACTTCCTTCCCTTCCCTTCCCTTCCCCTAAATACTACCTGCTTGCTTAGATTGTTGCAACCACTTCTAAACAGGTTTTCACATCGTTAACCTAGATGTGTTTGTTTTTTTAATCAATTTTCCTTCCTGCTCCAATCCAGTGTTCCCTGTTGACTGCCAAATTGACCTTCATGGGTCAGGTTATATCATATCTTTGCTGAAAATCCTAAAATAGCTGCCTATTGCTTATGAAATAAAGTTAGACCCCTTTGCCTATCAATAAAGGCTCTCTATAATCAAACACCGTACTTTGCCATCATTCATTACTCCTGCCCCACTGGACTGTCCCCTATCCCCTAAACATACCAGGTTCTTTCCTTTCTCTCCCAGGGCCTGAAATGTTCTCCTCTTCCCCTGATGAATTCCTTCCCAGCTTTTTAAGCCTATCTAAGGAAGTCTTCCATGACACCCTCCACCATTAGTCACAAGCCCCTCTCTCACTCAAAAAAACCCACTTTGTTTTGCACTTATCTGACATACTGTGAATTATGTGTATATTTGTGTCATATCACTCTATGGAATCACAAATTACTAAACTTTGTATCTCATCTAGAGTCTAGCACCTGGCTCAGGACCCTGAATATAGTAGGATGGATGGAAGAATGAATGAATGAATGAATGAATGAATGGATGAATGAATCAAAGAAAAATGTTAAGCACTTACTAATATACCAGACACAGTGCAAAGTACTATGGACACAAATCATCCATAAAGGAAACTAAATTTGTGCCCTCAAGGAGCTTACATCCAAATAGAAGAGACTATATATATAGGCGTGTGGTGACTAGGAAAGGATTTTTCTGTGGAAAGTCACAGCCTGGAGAGGTTGTCCACCCATAAAGGCAATTAACTGACAGGCCCTTTCCGGAAGCAACATGAATAAATATTTGTTGAATTAAATTGAACTGCTGTAGGGGCCTAGTACAAGCTAGTCTCAGTAGGAAAGTGAAACAAAACTTTGGAGTAGGGCTTTGGGTCTCAGTGGTGGAAGCCCTTCCCTGCCTGGAAGAGGCTGTCTTCACCCTCATCTCTTAACATACATCCTTCTTTGGCCTTGTGCCTTCTAACCCAAACCCTGTTCCCTTCTTCCTTCTCCTTTCTCCTTCCTTTCATTTCTAGTTGGGTTTGTTTCCCTAAAGCTCTATGGGCTTCCTCCATCCAAACTCTACTCTCCAAAACTCCTTTAATGAGCATATTCTACTCCCCCTTTTCACACACCCCCATCCTCCTATGTGATGGGCTGGGTGCCCAGAGGGGAGATAAGGAGAGGTCCAAACCGATAGCAAAAAGAGAGGGTTTGTAGGAAGTATTCTTCTGCCCTGAGCCTCACCCCCAACCCCCCTCCTTCTGTAGTAGTCCCATCCCCTGTCTGTCTCCACCCTCTGAAAAGCTGAGGAATGAAGCCCCAGAGGGGCTATATTCCTTGGATCTTTGGCTGGGAGGGGAGGTGAAGCCTGGCTGGAGTTAAGGCTGTAGTCAGGGGTTTGGGAGGGTGTAGTGGCGTCAGCTGACGGGCCAGGAGCAGGGGAAGGGTTGAAGGGGGAGGTTCTCTGTCCTTGTTTCACTCCCATGCAACTCTCTTGGACTTTTTTGAACCTTGCCCCAAGTCAAGAGCAACACCTCCCTGGCTATCTCAGATTGACTTCTCCCCCAACGTTGGCTGAGGTCAGGATTTTAATCCTAACAGGGCTACAGAGCCACACATTCAGAAGGGAGGATACTGGCAGGCTAGCTCTGGTGATTAATTTGCTCATAAGGAAAAGCATTGGGACCCACAGCCATTCTCCTGGTTTAGCATGGGAAGCCCCTAGAGTCCTGCAGTATTTCCTGTAGTGGAAATGCACGTAATAATGTACAGGAGTAAACTTTGAGGAGAGAAGAGAGATGTTTCAGGGTATTAACAGTAGATACCTTGTGAGCACAGTCCTTGGGTAAATCAGACAAGCAGTGGTGGGGAGCCAAGCCAATGAGAACATCAGGTGAGGGAGGGAAGGAATAACAGGAAAGATAAAAGGTTAGGTTTTGCTTGGGCGGAGGGATGTGGTTTCTTTGTTGATATTCAAGGTTTTGTTTAAGTAAATATAGCTCCTTCTAGCTGTGTGATCATCCACAAAGCAACTTCCTACCCTGGGCCTCAGTTTCCACAAATGTAAAATAAGTGGCTTGGACTAGATGGGGATCTTCTAGCTACTCTATGATTAATTAGTCTTGTGGGTATTTTCTGGTCTTCTATTTTCTGTGAGTGCCCCATCTCCCTCGTTACACTGCAAGTCTTCCAGGGGCCATAATCTCTTCTGTCCTCTAGGTCAAAAGTTCTTCACTTGGAGCCCCTGAAATTTTTTTTTAATAGTTTGGTAACTGTTTCAATAGAATTTGTTTCTTTTGTATTTTATTTTATGCATTTAAAAGCATCATTCTGAGAAGCACTCAGTGGACTTCACCAGACTGCCAAAGGGCAGAGAAAAAGATTAAGAACCCCCAGTCTAGATTGTCTTTTTGACTTCTCCAACCCCCATCTCCAACCAATCCAAGTGGGGTTTCTGACTGAACTGTCCAAGGGAAATTCCGAAGACCAGGTCAGACCTCAGTTATATCTGAGCTCTAGACTGGGAGTCAGAAGGCCTGAGTTCAATTCCTTCTTCTCCTATTAATCATGTGATTTGAGGCAAGTAATTTTCCTTCATCTGGACCTGTTTGTGCAGCTGTAAAAGGAGGGGATTGGACTAGATGTACATTAAGACACTGATACATCCCAAGGGAAAGAAGGTCACCTCTCATTCAGATTTCTCATAGGGGCATCTTGGTCTAGACTAGCTTCCATAGTCCTCATGACTCATCTATCTTCTACATGGCAACCCTTCAAATATTGGAGAACTGCTATCTTGTGTACCCTGATTCTTCCCTTCTCCAGGTTATCTTCATTTCTTTCAAGTACAGACTTAAGATTCTTCACAAACCAGTTCAGCCAGTGTTCTCCTTAAATTTTGACTCCCAAAACTGAACACAATACTAGACCCTGGACGGAGGACAGAGAACAGAGGAAGCATCAACTCCTAATTCCCGAAAGCTTCATTGTTATTGTTCAGTAAGTCAATCATGTCTGACTCTTTGTGATCCATTTTGGGGTTTTCTTGGCAAAGATACTGGAGTGGTTTGCCATTTCCTTCTCCAGTGGCTTAAGGCAAACAGAGGTTAAGTGACTTGCCCAGAAAGTGTCTGAGGTCAGGTCTTTCTGACTCCAGGGCCACTGCTCTATCCACTGATCTACCTATCAGCCTTCCTGAAAGTTGGGCCTCTCTTAATGGAGGACAAGATATTAACCACCATATCACACCGCTGACTCACCTTGAGCTTGCAGTCCAGTAATCCCTCCCATCCTCTGCCCCAATCCCCCCACCCATGTACCCCATCTTTTTCCAGACAAGTTGCTGTCTCAACAAGCCTTGCCATCCTGTACTTGTGAAGTTAATCATCTGAACTCAAGTGTAAGATTTTATATTTACTTTCACTGAATCTCCTCTTACCAGATCCAGTCCTGTACCTGTAAAGACCTTTTGGGATCCTGACTTTGTCATTCAGTGTGTAAGCTCTCCTCCCCAGACTTTGAGTCATCTGCAAATCTGATGAGCATACCATCTGTGCCTTTCTCCAAAGCACTGACAAAAATGTTAACCTTCATAAAATCAAGAACAGATTCCTGGGGCCCTTCACTGGAGACCTACTGCTAGTCTGACCAGCTAGTTCAGAATCTATCTGGATAGTATGGAATATGCTCTAGAATCCTTCCATTAGAAGGGCTCCAATGCCCTGCCTCTTACCCAAATTGTACTGAAACTTTGTACTGAAATTATACTTTAAAAAAATTGGTCTCCTTTTTTTCCTGTGAAAATCATCTTCTATTACCCATTCTAGTATCTTAAAACTTAAAAAATGCCTCCCTTAAATCCTTCCTGCTGCAAACTCAGAATGTAGTGCTAGGGAGCAGCTGTCAAGGAAACAGTCTGACATCCTTAGGGTCTCAGACATAGATCAGAGGTGGGGAGAAGAAGAGAGGAGAAACTAAGGTGTGGGACAAGGCCACCAGAAGAGAGCAAATAGGGGCTTCCAGGAAAGAACATGAAAGTTTGGAGAAAGAGACGGAAATGGAAAGAAGGAGGGGATGGGTACTGAGAGGCTGAAGCTGCAGATGATGGGGTTATCACAAAGGCAATGAAGCCAGGGGAAAGAAGGCGTCGGCGGGAGTGAGGGAAAGAGGAAATAAAAGGAAAGGATGCAGAAAGGGGAAGGTTCTCATTTTAGAAGTGGGAGACTGGGGTACAGAGTTTCTCCATGTGTCCTGAAAAATTGTTTCCACGTGGTCTGCTTGTGCCTATGGGGTGGTAACCCAGCTCGGCTGCTTCCAGGCTTCTCCACTCCACCTTCACCCCAACAAGCCTCAAAGGCTCTTACGGAGCATTTGGGTAAATTGAACCCCACCTCCACATGCTTGGCATACGCCTCCCCCCACCCGGCCTACGTGACCAGCTTGGGCCCAGGGGCTGGGACAGTGTCGCTAAGATAAGGGCAACAAGGGAAAACTGCCAAAGTCAGGAAATTGCATAGCCTGGTTCCCCTGGCAACTCAAACTCAGTCCCCAAACAACAGTGGGTGGGGAAGCTCCCTGCTCAGCTCTCACTTTCCTCTGAGGAGGCCTCAGTCCCCTGTTTCCTTCCAGACCTCAGTCTCCCCACCTGATAGCTGGTGGGCATTCTCTAAGGAATGACCCTGGGCCTTCTCTTCTAGATTATAAACTCTGAGCAAATATATTAGATCCACGTCATCCCTGGTCCTGGTAAACTTGAGGGAGAGATGAGGACTCAGCCTGTTGGGTAAGTGGGTGGGAGGCTGTCTACTGATGGGAATGGGGTGGCCCAAACCTGACTTGGTGCCTTCCCTCCCCTCTCCTCCAAAAGAAAACTGAACCTCTGGGGGCTCTAACCGATCTCATCCCTAGGAGTTCTTGGCTGGACCACCCCATATACAAAGGCAGGCCATCTGGGAATGATTTCATGGAACACAGGGAGGGAATCCCCTCCCCCAGCTGTTCTCCTTTGTCTCGGTTACCACCCATACCCTCCCTCCCCAGGAAGAAACTGTCTTGTGGCACCCTCACTACTCCTCCTTGCCCTCCGTTGTCCCCCTCCCCCAAAAGCTACCATGCTGTTGTTCCAGCCTTCTCACTTTCCCAGTAGCCTTGCTTCTCCTTCTCCTGTGACCTCAGGCTCCACCCATTGAAACACACACACACACACACACACACACACACACACACACACACACACACCACACAAAACACCCAACTATATTCAGTCCAGCTAAAGAATGAACTACTGCTAGTCATCGTACAATAAGGTCCAGGGTCTTGAGAGGGCAACATTGTGGCTGGTCCAAACCCATGACTATTAGAAAATGAATTCAGCACCAGCTCAGGAGTCAGACAATCAGGGCTGTAGCCCTGGCTATTGGCAGTTGCTCTAGTTAGGTAAAGTTGACTGTATCACCTTATTTCTCTGGGCTTTATTTCCATGATCTATATATAACCATATATATATATGCATGTATTATTTATTTATATATATATATGTGTGTGTGTGTGTATTATTTAGACATAGATATATATTTGATCTATCAAATACTATGTGCCAAGCCCTGTGGTAAGAGTTGGGTATACAAAGAAAGGCAAAACCACGGCCACTCCCTCAAGGAGCTCATTTGGCCTTCGTTCTCAAAGAGGACCATGACATCAGGGAGGGGATGCCATGACATGCAAGTGAAATAGATGTAAGTGAGGCAGGGCTGTGCAAAGTCACCTGCCTCACTCTTTCCTCTGGAGTCATGTGGGTCCAGTGGCCTAATAAAGATCAGGATGAATGGAGATGGCCCTTGCCCTTAGGGAGTTTACATTCTAACGGAAGAAGGTAATACATAGAGGGTTGCTAGAAAGAGGATATCACATGAGAGAATGGTAAGGAGGTGGTTGGGACTTGGTGCAGAGGCCTATACCACACCTTTATAAAATGGAGGCAAGATAAGGCAAAAGCTCACCTATTAGAGCTGGGGAATTTAGGGAGTTAGATTAGGTGATCCCTGAGGTCACTTCTAGCACTAAATCTGTCGTCTGAAGGAGACAATGCATAATAGTAAATAATAAACATGCAGCAAGCAGTATAAGGCCATGCTCTTCTAGACTCTGGAAATCCTTGAGACATGGATCAAATCTAGGACATATGCAGCCTGAGTATGGCTGATTCTGCTTGACCGTGCCCCTCTGAGTGAGCAAAGCAGTGTGCAGTGCCGTTCCCAAAGGATGTCCAAGGCCTCCTTTTCATAAGACTTGTCATCGGTGTAGACACAGAAACCCTGGAGCTGTAGTCTTGGTTCACCAGGCTCACTGATGGCCCAGAATCATAAAATGCAGCATCCAATGTGAATAGAGACACAAAAAGGTCTTGGGACTTGTTTGGTCACTGACAGATAACCTTGCACTGTCTGGATGAAGCTAACCTCTCGTGGAACTAATCTGGAATTTGCAGCCAGCCTAGACAAGTGCTACCATCTCATGTTCCTTAATCCTTTTCCCCTTGAGAGCAGTACCACTTCTCTGTTGCGCCCCGTATCAGGCCTCTCCTCCTCACTTCCTGTGGCCACCTCCAGTCCTAATTCTTGGGGCTGGGGGGAGAGGATTATATCTTTACATATCCAAATAAGGGAACTGTGACTACTCACCCATAAGAAGGGACTTGGAAAGGACAGAATCAGTATTATTAAATAGGTGAAAGTTGAAAGGGGGTAGATTTCTGCTCAATATAAGGAAAAAATTCCTAACAATAAGAGCTGTCTGAAAGTGGAATAAACTGCCTCAGGAGAGCTAGGTGGCACAGTGGATAGAGTCCTGGGCCTGGAATCGGGAAAACCTAAGTTCAAATCCAGCCCTTGACACTTACTAGCTGTGTGACCTTAGACAAGTCATTTAAACTGCTATCTGCCTCAGTTTCCTCATCTGTAAAATGAAGATAAGTAGGTACTAACCTACTTCTCAGGGTTGTTGTAAGGATCAGATGAGATAACATTTGCAAGCACCTGGCACATAACAAACACTTAATAAATGCTTGCTCTTCTCTACCCACCCCTTCCTTAAGTAGGTCATAGGGGAAGATTTTTGATCTGGTCAGAATTGGACTAGATAGCATCTCACACTTAGTTGTTGTTCAGTCATATTCAACTCTTTGTGACCCTATTTGGGGTTTTCCTGGCAAAGATATTGGAGTGGTGTGCCATTTCCTTCTGAGTGGATTGCCATTTCCTTCTTGATCTCATTTTACAGATGAGGAAACTGAGGCAAACAGGGTTAAGTGACTTGCCCCGGATCACACAGCTGATTCAGCGTCAAGTGTCTGAGGCTAGATTTGAACTCCGTTCCTCTGACTCTAGGGCTGGTGCTCTATCCATTGTACTACCTTGCTACCCCGGAAGAATCTATTTCAAATCTGGTCTCAGACAACCACTAGCTATGTAACTCTGGGCAAATCACTTAACTGCTTTATGCTTCAGTTCCCTCATCTGTAAAATGGGGACAATAACAGCACCTACCTCCCAGGATTGTTGTGAGGATTAAACAAGTAATATTTGTAAGTTCTTTGCAAACCTCTAAAGCACTAGATAAAAAAAAGCTTAAAAAAAAAGCTAGCTAGCTTTTAGGCAGACAAAACGTGCTCATACTTATACAAAATAATTACAAGGTAGGTATGGAGGAGAGGCACAAGAAATTGGTGGAATCAGGAAAGGTCTCATGTTGGAGACAGCGTTTGAGCTGAGCTTTGAAGAAAACTAGAGACATTCTAAGAGGCAGAAGTAAAGTATGCAGGGCAGAGGGCAACAAATTCCAGGTATGAGTAATAGACTGTGCAAAGACATGGGAGCAGGAAATGGGATTTCTTGTGTGAGGAAAAGCAAGGCAGCCACTTTGGCTGGACTATAAAGTGTATAAATGGGGGGGGGGCGGAGTTGTAACATAAACTTGCAAAGGTAGGATGGAGAAAGGTTGTGAAGGGCTTTAAATGACAGAGGAGCATATATTTTATACTAGAGGTAATAAGGAGCAGCTAGGTGGCACCATAGTGCACAGAGCACTGGACTTGGAGTCAGGAAGACTTATCTTCCTGAGTTCAAATCCAGCCTCAGACACTTCCTAGCTGTGTGACCCTCGGCAAGTCACTTAACCCTTTTGCCTCAGTTTCCTCATCTGTATCCACTGTAACCATTCCAGTATCTTTGCCAAGAAAACATCAGGAACCACTAAAGCAGGTGAACTACATGGTCAGAACTGTCATTTTGGCAGCTAGAGGGAGGATTACTTGGAGAGCAAAAGCACTTATGACAGACCATTTCAACAAGCCAGGTAAGAGGTGAAGAAACCCTGAACTAGGGTGATGGTCATTTGAGTGGAGAAAAGGGGACAGATATAGGAGATAGGATAGAGGTAAAATCAGCCTGACTTGACAGTTGAGTGGCTATGTGGAGTGAGAAAGAGTAAAGAGTCTAGGACAACTATGAGGTTGAAAATCTGGATGACTAGAAGGATGGCAGTACCTTTAACAGAAATAGGGAAGTTGAGAAGATAATGAGTTTGAATTGGGAGGTTGGGGGAAGACAATGAATTCTATATTGGGCATGTTGAATTCGAGATCCTACCATATAATGGAAATAGCAGTGATGGGCCTCTGGAGATCAGGAGAGAGTAGGGTGAAATGTATAGATTTGGGAGTCATCTGCAGAGAGATGCTAGTCAAACCCAGGTTAGTTGATAATACTACTGAGAGAGTATGTACAGAAAGAAGAGGACACAGTATATAGAGCCTTGGTGTATACCCACAGATGAAGGAAAATTTGTTAACGGGGACCCCAAAGGGACAAGAAAGGATGACGTGTTGAGATGTTCTTGATTGAGCTCATTGCATCAAGCCTTCAAACAACACAGGATTTCCTAAAAGGTATCCATAATCATTCAAAAGAATCTGGCCTGGTTATGCACACAGGAAAAACTAAGTAGATGAAAAATGTCTGGTGTAGACCGTGATGTGCAGTTGGATGGAGAACTTATAGAGCTCATTTATCACCATATATGCCTATGTGTATGTGTGTATACATACAAATACAAACATACACATATGTGCTTATGTATATGTTTGTAGTGTATGTAAATATGTTTCTTCCCAAAACAAAGTCTAATCTTCTTCACACTAGTATTTTTCCAGTGATGATATATGGTTTTATTTTATGGAAAACCATAGTCTTTGAAAAATTAAAACTGAAAATTATCCAAAAGGTAATTAGTAATGTTTTCACTGGTATACGAATGCTTCAATATATTACAAAAATGAGAAATTACATTTGAGAAACTGTGTAAAGGACGACTTCAAAGAACTGTATGATTAAAAAAATTCACAAGAATGAGGGATAACTGGCATCCACTGATGTTGAAAGAACTTGAGGAAAGCCACTAGCACCTTAGATGGACCCTCTGATGGATGAAAGTAGGACAGGATAGGATCTGGATTGTTGGAGGGAATATCTATATCAGCAAGACCACAGATCTATTAGGGTATCTGAATATTCTTCATAACAGCTGTGTAAGATAGCTAGTACAAGTATAATTCTCCCATTTTACAGATGAAGAAACAGGCCTACCAAGGCAAAATGACTTACTAATGATCACTCATGTAGTGTGAGAGCCAGGATTTGAAGGTGATGCCAATTCAATTCAACAAACACGAATTCAGATTTCCTATCTCCAGATCCAGCATTCTTCCCTACATTGTACTGGTTTTCCAAGGGAGAGAATTGCTATTCCCCTCCAGGCTTGGTCTGATACCTGACCTTTGCCCTTTTTTTCTGATGTCTACAGCCCTCACTTGGTAGCTGCTGCTTTTAGGGGAGCAATCTTACTTCCATCCCAGTTGGAAGGTGGAGCCAAGATGGAAAAATAATAGGAAGAAGTGCCATGAGAATCCCCCTCCAAAGAAATTCCCCTCAAATACGCAGTATATAGAAAACTCACCGGACTAAATCCAGATGGAGAGATCTTAAGAAAAAGACACAGTAAGTCATTGTTTTTTCCAGCCCAGATTGGCACAGGGAGACAAAGAGGTCTGTGGGCCCTGGGCACTGGATTTGGCCAGAGCATGGACCACAGAGCATTACAGTGCAGGAAAAGGCCGTGCACCAGGGCACAAGCAGGTCCTAAACCTATATGGGGCATCATGATCCCAGGGTGTGAGGACAGGTGCCAACTGCAGCAATGCTGATACCTACTGCTGGGTCACAGATCCAAGCCAAACCAAGAAGGGATGGCTTTCCTGGGTAAGGACTAGTCCAGCAAGGAGTGGTCAAAGGCCTGGGGCTCCATATTGAAAGAGTAAGTAGTTCAGAAGCAAGCAGCTAGGGATCCCAAAAAGTAACTTGGACCTCAGAAGCAGAGCAGCATCTCAGCTGCAACTTCTCACCAGTCTGAAGCCTGCAGAGGAATAAAACAGGGCAGCAATCCCAGACCAAAGAGAAGCCTGCAATTGTGCCCACGTCTTAAGCCAGAGCTTCCCAAAGGGCTGACAGAGGCTGAGACTAGCAGCTTTTTGTATTTGCTCTAATTCAGGTCAAGAACTTGCAGAGCTCAGACCAAGGGGACAGTGATCAGACTTTGCCCTGGATCAGACCACTTTGGGAGCACGGACAGCTTACAGGTCCCCGGTGTGAGCTGTGCCTAAGATCCTGGAATAACACAGTCAATACAGCTGAGACCTTCATTACAGAAGAGTGCAGAACCTTGTCCTAGAATCAAGTACATAGTCAGGAAGTAGGCTGGAAGAATGAGCGAGTGGAATATATCTAGACAGTATGGAATATACTGTCCTTGAGAAAGGTGTGCAAGCCTTCAAGAAAGTCTGGATGGTGCTGCATATAGCATGACCACTACCCACTACTTAGGAAATACTGTACGCATTAATAAATATATAAATATAGAATCACACTAATTCGTATACACATATTAGATCAATCTCAATCTCATAGAACCATAGGTTTAGATGGATTTCATCTTACCCAACTCTTTTTTTTTTTTGGTTAAGCAGTGGGGTTAAGTGACTTGCCCAGAGTCACACAGCTAGTGAGTGTTATGTGTCTGAGGTCACATTCGAACTCAGGTCCTCCTGACTTCGGGGCCAGTGCTCTGTCCATTGCACCACCTAGCTGCCCCGATCTTACCCAACTGTCATTTCACAGATGAGAAAACTGAAGTCTTGAAAGGATAAATGACTGGCCCAAGGTCATACAGTAAATAGTCCAGGCAGAGCTTGAACCCAGGTCCTCCGACTCTAAATCCAGGGCATTTTCTACTTGGGTCCCAAATTGGGAAAATGCCTTTCCAGGGTCACCTAAGTGAGTGGCAGGGCTGGGACTCCACCAAAGGCTTCTGACACTGTCAAGTACTGTTTCTACCACATTCCTGTTGCCTCTCACGTCCTATGGTCACTCCCTGCCATCTCCTATAGCTCACTTTCCCCTGCTGCTATGCTTAATAACTCTATTGTTCAAAAAATTACTCCTTCCTTATATTGAAATTCCATCTCTCTAGATAGTTTCTTCCTAATCTGTTCCACCAATGGGTAATCAACATTTGTCTGGTTAGAGATTTTCACCGCCAGCCTTTGCATCTTCAAGTTTAATTCCAAGTATCCTAACTCTCCCTTCCAGATCCTGCCCCTCCCAGCTCTGTTCTGTTTTTTTTGCTGTGACTTGGGTCCTTTGCCAAGTTCTCCACACATTTCGTAAACTCTGTGTGGACACTGGAAGTGGACACATTGTTCTATGGAGCACCATGCAGAAATACACACAGAGACTTACATGTTCATGTGTGCACATACACATCTATGTATGGATATATAACCCATGCACTGCACTTGGACAATGCAGAGCCCTCTACAGATACATATAGACTGCTCTCCCCCACCTCCATCTCTACCACTTACCTTACCCCTCCCCCACCTCCGACCAGCCCAGTACCACATGCACATACCAATGCATTAATATGCACATACATTCTGGGTGAGGCTGCTTCCCCCCCAGAGCTGTACTTGGCCCAAATCTTATCCCTGTTCCACCACCAAAGTGTGATTTTTCCAGTCTGTTGAAGTGGAAAATGAGTCAATGGGCTGGATTGGGTGGCCCCTAGCCTCACCCTCTCCTTCCTTTTCTCCTTTCTTTTCTCTTAGCCTTAGTCAGGGTTCCATTGTTCACACCTGCAGAAGCTTCTGCACACACACAGACACACACCCAAAATGCATACAAACACCCTGGATACATATACCCACTTATCACACACTCATTCATCATCCTCTTCCCCTCACACCCAACTCCTTGAGGGCAGGGACTCCATCATTCTTCATCTTTGTGGTCTCCATTGCCCACAGTAGGTATTTAAGAAATACTTTTTGAGTTGAATTCAATTCCATTGGCCAAGCTTCCAAGGTCTGTCTTCCTTTATGTTCTCAAAGTATGATCTGAGGACCCCTGGGGATTCCCAAGACCTTTTCAAGGGGTCTGTGAGATCAAAACTATGTTCTTAACAATACTAAGATATTATTTGCCTATTAAAATGCACCTTCTTTTTCTGATTTGTGTAGGGACAGATTTTCTTTATATGACAACCAAATCAACATACTGAATACAGACATCAACGTAGCATCTAGCTACCTTCTATTAAGCTAGTCACTAAAAAAGATTTATAAAAATATATGAAACAATGATACTCTTCTCACTATATATATATATATATATATATATATATATATATATATATTTTTTTTGTTTTGGAATATGTATTCCATACAAAAACATGTTATTTATGTTAACATGTAATGGGTTTATTACAGTTATTTTTAAATAACAATTTTAAAAATTTTATCAGTTTCATTTTTACTGTGGTAATTATTGACAGATATAACCTACATAAACAAAAGCTCTTTTGGGTTCTCAATTTTTAAAGGTGTAAAGGGGTCTAGGGGAGGATCCAAGATGGTAGGTTAGAGGCAGCAACCTAGCTGAACTCTGTCAACATTCTCCTCTAAACCGTTTTAAAATAATGCCTCAACTCAAATTTTGGAGCAGTAGAGCCAACAAAGAGTCAGTGAGATATTTTTCTAGTCTAAGAAAATTTAGGAGATCAGCAGCAGAGATCTGTGACACCGAGCCGAGGGCCTGTCCAGAGAACATGAAGCCCTGGTATCAGAAGCAGCAGCAGGCATTGGAGGCAGCTTGGACAGCAGCAGTGGTAGCTTCTGGAGCTCTCAGCCCAGAGACAGTAAGGGGGTCGGATAATTGATCAGAAAGAGATTACAAGAGACCCTTTGCTAGAACTGGGTGCAGCTGGCACTGACTGGCAACTCTATTTCCCATAGCAGTTCTGGATCACAGGTTGGAGAGGAGTGCATGTTGTCAGTCACAAAGGAGCAGAGGACCTAGTCACAATTCCAGGACCAAGAGGATCACTAGTCTTTGCAGGTGCAGGGGAGCAGGGAGCCCTTTCTGGGTGGAGACCAGAGCTCAGATCAAGAGAGCAGTAGCCACACCTCTCCCAAAATAACACTACCTTGGAATAACCAAAAACTTGCAGGACCCCACCCCCACCCCCAGAACTAGCTCTGAAAACAGTAGCACAAAAAAAGATAAAGTTTGGGACAGGGCCTCTCCATCTTGAGGTGAGCAAAGCCCAACTTTAACATAAGGTTCAAAGTCGAGAAATAGGCTAGGAAAATGAGTAAACAACAATAACAAAAAAAGAACTTGACCATAAAAAGCTACTATAGTGGCAGGGAAGACCAAGACACAAACTCAGAAGATGACAACAGTGTGAAAACATGTACAAGCAAAGCTTCGATGCTAATTGAACCCCAAGGTCAACAAGAATTCCTGGAAGAGTTCAAGAAAGAGGTGAGTGATAGAAGAAAAATTGGGAAAAGAAATGAGTGACACAAGAAAATTATGAAGTGAGAGTTAATAGTTTGATAAGAGAGGCACAAAAAAATACTGAAGAAAAATAACACCTTTTAAAAAAAGGAATTGGCCTAATGGTAAAAGAGGCACAAAAATTCACTGAAGAAAAGAATTCCTTAAAAAACAGAATTGGCTGATAAATGGTCAAAGGATATGAACAGAGAGTTCTCAGATGAAGAAATTAAAGCCATCTATAGTCATATGAAAAAATGCTCTAAATCATTATTGATTAGAGAAATACAAATCAAAACAACTCTGAGGTACCACATCACACCTATCAGATTGGCCAACATGACAAAACAGGAAAATGATAAATGTTGGAGAAGATGTGGGAAAATTGGAACACTAATGCATTGTTGGTGGAGCTGTGAAATGATTCAACCATTTTGGAGAACAATTTGGAACTATGCCCAAAGGGCTATAAAAATGTGCATACCCTTTGACCCAGCAATAGCACTTCTAGGGCTATATCCCAAAGAGATCAAACAAATGGGAAAAGGACCCACATGTACAAAAAATATTCATAGCAGCTCTTTTTGTGGTGGCAAAGAATTGGAAATTGAGAGGATGCCCATCAATTGGGGAATGACTGAACAAGTTGTGGTATGTGAATGTAATGGAATATTACTGTGCTATAAGAAATGATGAACAGGCTGACTTCAGAAAAACCTGGAAGGACTTGTATGATCTGATGCTGAGTGAAGTGAGCAGAACCAAGAGAACGTTGTACTGAATAACAGCCAAGTTGTGAGATGACTAATATTGATAAACTTAACCCTTCCCAGCAGTACTAGGATCTAAGACATCTCCAGAGGCCTCGTGATGGAAAATGCTGTCCACATCCAAAGAAAGAACTATGAAAGTTGAATTGCTATTTTTTTTCCTCTTCTGTTCAGTTTTTTCCCCCTCTTTCTGATGGTTCCTCCTGTTGGTTTTAATTTTTACTTACAACACCACTAATGTGAAAATACGTTTAATAGGAATGTAAATATATAGCCTATATCAGATTGTGTGTCGTCTTGGGGAAGGGGGTGAGGAGGAAGAGGGGAGAAAAATTTTAAACTCAAAAGTATATGGAAGTGATTATTGATAAATCAAAATAAATTAATAATTTTTTTTAAAAGTTGTTCTCCAGGACTGGTACAAAGTAGGCACTTAATAAATGCTTATTGATCAATTAATTGCCATTGAGGAACATAGCAGAATCTTTCATTGATATCTAGTGCTGCAAAGTGATGTTGTAATTTGATGAAATGTTTAGACTTCTGGTCAATAAATCTATTCAATTAAAAAAAACAGAATTGGCTAGCTGGAAAAAGAGGTACAAAAGCTTGATAAAGAAAATAATTAGCGGCAGTTAGGTGGCACAGTGGATAGAGTGCCAGCCCTGAAGTCAGAAGGACCTGAGTTCAAGTCCGAACCTCAGACCAAATACTTGACACTTACTAGCTGTGTGACCCTGGGCAAGTCACTTAACCCCAATTGCCTAAAAAAAAAAAGAATTGCTTAAAAATTAGAATTGGGCAAATGGAAGCTAATGACTCCATGAGACATCAAAAAACAATAAAACAAAGGCAAAAGAATGAAAAATTCAAGAATATATGTAATATCTCATTGGAAAAACAACTCACCTGGAAAATAGGTTGAGGAGAGATAATTTAAGAATTATTGGACTATCAGAAAGTTATAATTTTTTAAAAGAGTCTAGACATCATAGTTGAAGAAATTATACAGGAAAACTTCCCTGATATCTTAGAACCGAGGGTAAAATAGAAATTGAAAGAATCCACTGATCACCTAATGAAAAAGATCCCAAAATGAAAACTCCCAAGAATATTCTGGCCAAATTCCAGAGCTCCCAGGTCAAGAAGAAAATATTGCAAGCAGCCAGAAAGAAACAATTAAGATATGGTGGAGTTACAGTCAGGATCACCAAGATTTAGCTGCTTCCATGTCGAAGGAGTAGAGGACTTGG